GGGGGGGGGGGGGGGGGGGGGACCTGAGGCATCCAGACCGTGGCCATGAGTGCAGAGGTGGAGGACTCCGTCGTCTTCCCTACAAACCTTGTTATCCTTGACCCCATACTTAGGGGCTTTAATGCAGAACGTACCACCTTACGGTGGTGAAGGCCCTGAGTCTGAAATGGCCCGATGGGGCTCAAGGGAGAAAGGCCCCAGGGGCAAGTGCCGCCTCGGTGCTTCGAGTTCCTGACCGCCTGCATTCCTTGGCCTGGGGTCCCTCGCTCCCTCTTCAAATCTTTGTCCCTCTTACAAGGACCTTTGTGATCATGGCGCACCCGCTTGGGACATCTGCAGAGTTCCCCGGGCCACATAAGGGGACACAGTCCTAGGTTCTGGGGTGTGGACATTCTTGGGGTCACCCTGTCTGGCAAAGACTGTGATCTGAATAGTGAAATCACTAAGATTTGGTATTTGAACAATGGTGCTTTCTGAAGGGTGAGTCGAAGCTGGTCACAAAATAAAGGAGAAGGAAAAACCGGCATGGTAAACCTCTTCCTGGCACACGATGCTTTAAAAAACCAGGCTGAGAGGACAGCCTTACTCGTGACCTGAGTGCCCTACGGCCTTTCCTGCTGTGTGGCCTGCCAGCCCCCCATATTCTGCAAGGGAAGGTGGCCCGCCTACCGAGGAACGTGAGGCTCAGCAGCACCGGAGTCGTCCAAGCCCCCATCCTGATGAGACAGGGAGGGGCTCACATTCAATAGAGACTGCCTCAGCCCCCCGGGGGCCCTGCGGGTTCTGTGAAATGTCCCCCTCGTTCCCGCCTCGCAGCAGTGCTCGTTTACAGTGATCTGATTTTCACACCCGTTCAGGGACACGGCCATTGTGCTCGGTGAGAAGTCCCTTGTTGAGGACAACATCGCAATGACAGAATGGAAACTTCCCCCGAGGGCCTCCCTTCTCCCTCAGGAGTCGGGCTGATCTGCTATGTGCACAGAGGGAGAGAGAACACCTGACCTTGAACAAGGGTGAGCTGCTGTTCCTCGTTCCCACGGCCCGTCCAGCCGCTCAGCCCTCCTTCAGAAGGACATCTGGCCAGAAGGGGGCAAGATGGTGGAGAAGTGGGGAGCTCTGTACATTGCACTCGCCCCCGTATCTCACACGGAGAAGGCCCGAAGCCACAGGAACCCTTACAGAATCCAGGAGTTTGGGAGGAAAAGGAGACAGAGTCTGCTGAGAAAACCTTCTAGCGTGAGTGCGAATTGGGGAAGATAAAATCGGGCCAGACCAGAGGGACGGGGGCGATCCCCCTCTGCAGGGAGTCTAGAGGGGAAAGAGAGTGGATGAAACTGCTCAAGACCCTGTCCCTGTTGCTTTAGAAAAGAAAAATCTCCGCTCGGGACACAGAGGGATCCAGTTTCCTGCTCTTCAGCTGACCCTAGGTGGGACGCACTTGTCCCGGGCGACCCCCGGGGAAACTGCTCCTTGCTCACCAGCTTAACTTGGAGGGGACGCGCAGCGGCTGCGGCTTTGTGCTTCTGGCTTGGCTGGATCCCTAGAGGGGAGGCGAAGGGCTTAAAACTGGTAGATTTGCCCGCGAGTTCGTGTTTCGGGTGATGGGACACAGAGGGACCCGGTTTCCTGCTCGCCAGCTGACCCTAGGCGGGACGCACTTGTCCCAGACGACCCCCGGATGAAACTGCTCCTTGCTCGCCAACCCGACCTGCAGGAGATGGGAGCAGCGGCTTCTGGCTCAGTCCCCAGGGGGAAAACTGCCCTGAGGGGCTCGCCTGCGAGTTTGTGTCTCCAGCATTTCACTGGGGAACGCGGACGGGGATGTGGAAACGAGGCCTGGCCTGGAATATAGAGCACGGCCCACCCTGGCTGTGCCCCCGGCACAGTGAGTTTACACTCCCAAAAAAGTGAGTTGCAGAGCTTGGTTCAAGAAGGGGCTGGAGCGCAGCCATGGCATAACTCCCGCCAGACGCATTGGATCAAACCATGCCCATCCCTGCTAGAAAGCTGCTCTCGTCTTTTGTTTGTTTGTTTGTCTTTTACCAGAGCCGGGGCAAGACCAACATGGAAGCACGGCCCTGATTAATTCTGGTCACCAGCCTGCTTAAACAGTCACATTTAATCTATTCTCTACATGTAAATTCTACACCTACCTACCTTTTCATCTCTTTCTGGAGTAGTCAGACTATATACTTGCTTTGGATAACACCATCAGCATTTCTTTCTCCTCTTCTCCAACCATATTCCACTCTTTTGCTCTTTGAAAAAAGCTTCTTATTCCTTCTGCCTGCTCATTTCATTTCCAATTTCGCCTCATCCCAGCCCTGTCACTTCTCTCTTTCTCTATGCTCTTCAACCAGCACTGCGTATACCCGGCTATTTATTTTTGCTGGGAAATCTGGTTATATGCTTTAAACTGTTCTTTGTCTATTGGCTTTCTTTTTTTCTTTTTTTTCGTTTTTATGTATTTTTAATTAATCGCCTTCCCTCCTCCCTCTTTTACATTTTCCCTTTAGGTTTGCGTGTTTGTTGGGTTTCTCTGTGCATTTGTGTGCCTCTGTTCCCTGTGTGTTTGTCTTCTTCTCTAGAGCTACCTCAAGAAACAAGCCAAAGTACACATGGTGGATAGTCCCAAATACCACTACGAGTAGGAAAATAAAATAACCAAGGTCTCAACAAGAGAGACCAAGAGATACCATTCAAAGAACACTTTCTGAACGGATAGGCCCTGGACCATCAAAGAGCCTTCTTGGGTACAGCAGTGCTCACAGGTGCAGAAAGCAAAACAAGCTTTTAAAACTTAACAAAAGAGCTCTCCTCCAAAGAAATTCCAGGAAGAAGTGACAGCTAAAGAACAGCTCAAAACAGATATAAGCAACATAACTGAACAAGAATTTAGAACAATAATCATAAAATTAATCACTGGGCTTGAAAAAAGTATGGAGGACAGCAGAGAAACTACAGCTACAAACAATATGGAGTTTAACAATAGTTATGGTGAATTTAAAAATGTGATAAATGAGATACATAATAAACTGGAGGCGTCCAATGCATGGATTGAAGAGGCAGAAAGGAGGAGAATAAGTGATTTAGAAGACACTATTATAGAAAAAGAAGAAACTGAGAAAAAGATAAACTGATACAGGAACATGAAAGAAGAGTTCGAGAGCTCAGAGACACAGTCAAAGGGAACAATATCTGTATCGTAGGAATCCCAGAAGAGGAAGAGAGAGGGAAAGGTGCTGAAGGAGTCCTGGAACAAATTATAGCAGAGAACTTCCCCAACCTGGGGAGGGAAGTAGACATTGAAATTCAAGAGACACAGAGAACTCCCCTCAGACATAATTTGAATCGATCTTCTGCATGGCATATCATAGTGAAAATGGCAAAATGTAAGGACAAAGAGAATTCTGAAAGCAGCTAGGGAGAAAAGGGCCCTAACATACAAAGGGAAACCTATCTGCTGAAACTTGGCAGGCCAGAAAGGAATGGCAGGAGATCATCAATGTGATGAACAGAAAAAATAGGCAGCCAAGAATCCTCTATCCAGCAAGCCTGTCATTCAAAATAGAAGGAGAGATAAAAGTCTTTCCAAATAAACAAAAACTGAAAGAATTTGTCACCACTAAACCAGCCCTACAAGAAATCCTGAGGGGGCTCTCTGATGGAAATGTTGCAAGGAAAGCAAGATGCTAGAGACACATCACAAACATGAATCCCAAAAACAATGACTCTAAACCCATATATTTCAATAATAATACTGAATGTAAATGGGCTAAATGCCCCCAATCAAAAGATATAGGGTAGCAGAATGGATAAAAAAACCAAAAT